CACTATTTTAATAATATCGAGCTTTTTTATTCATGGCTATGACATATCTTTTTTGCTTTAAGTAATTTCAATTTTTGATGTGAAATTTATTTGTATAAGCACATTAGATAAAAATATTTAAATTCAAAACTAAAACATCATTTTCCCAATTGTTCTCTTCTGATCCAGAACCAGGAAATCACCTGTATAGATGGTTGGTTATTTAAGTAGGTTCTAAATATTCTTCTCCATGTACATGGTTGATTATGGCTGACCTCAGAAATGCAGTCAGGGCAGGAGGACAAAGACCTTACTGACATTATTTTTCTCAAGATCACAGATATACCATGGAGAATGCAACGAACATACAGAGTGAGTTTCAGTGTAGCATGAGCAAAATAGCGCGAAGTTGTCTCAAAGAGAAGGAGGGGTGGAGACTGAAATACAGGGTGAGCGCTTTGTGCTTTAATGCAGGCTAGTCAACAAAGCAAAAAGTAAAGAAAGAAGCCTCATTACCCTCACCTTCTCCTCCCATGAGGGGACTGCCTTGAAGAAGCATGTCCTCATAAGTGCTAAGTCCTTGCAAGTCTGACCAATCAGATGAATCGTTGTTTCAGTGGGGTTCAAGAAAAGAGAAGGTAAAGAACCGAAAGGAATTCAGCATTATCCTCTCCTAGGAATATGAACTGTTTTCACTCTAATGTCGACAAGGCAACTGATGCTGTCTCTCACACTTGGGCCTCCTCAAAATTCTGTTCGATTTGTAAAATACTTGCACTGAATTCGTAATGGAGAAATGTAAAGGACTAGGAATGAGATGAGATAAAAATAGTATTGGAGGGATATTTTTAAAGACATCAACATATGAATATAAGGGGATGGAAAGATGAATCAGTAGTTAAGAGTGCAGTATTGCTGTTGGAGAAGACCTAAATTCAGTGTCCAGCATGAATATCCAAAGGCTCACAATGACTTATAACTTCACCTTGAGGAAAATCTGATGCCCTCTTCTGGCCACCAAGAGCACTGCATTCACATGAACAAATTTGCATGTTTTGAGCTAAGGGTACATGGGTGTGCACTTGCACACATGCATTTAAAAATATATGAGAAAATGCTTTTTAAAGCACTTATGATAAATAACTTTAGCCTCATCCTATTTTTCATTGTTTTAGGAATAAAAGGTAATAATGAGGGTTGTACTCTGATTTACAGATTCTTAATTGATTAGTATTTTCTCACTGAGTTTTTATTTGGATTTAGTGAGAGGATTTGACAGTTTACAAGAAATATATATTCATCCTAGAAAACACTTAAAAATATTAAAATATCCTTCTTTCAGAAAACGCTAGAAAGGAGCCAAAACATTAGGGGTCTGTTGTGTTTTTTATTGCCAGATTACAAGAATAAGAGAACTGGCCACTGGATTTCTTACTAGAAATGCACTGGGCTGTCCCTAATTGCCAGTAATAATTTCTTTCAATTTTAACATAAACAACTTTGAAGTTGCATACTCTACAAGGCCATTTTCATCCTGCCTTTAATTGACTCTACGGGTGTCACATGAATACCTTCACTTCCCCATAGTCATGCTTTTCATTTTATAAAGTGTGTAGCAAAGTTGTGTAATTTGGGTGTTCAGCTATAATCTCTACACTACTTGTTAGTAACAATAAGACCTAAGGTCAATAGCGACTCTGAGAGATGATAGCTTATAAAACAAATGTGTGCCCTTCAAAATTGATCATCAATGTACTTGTATGAGAGACCTTTAAAGGGGAATTAAGTCATAAGGATTGTACCTTCGTGAATGGAAGGGTTTTGCCTACAAAGAATCAAGGGGAAGTAGTTATGTAAGGGCATAGAAAGAGGCTTCCCTCCAAATATGGAATGCCCTAATCTTGGCCTTCTCCCAGTCTCCAGGATTGTAAGAAATTATTTATAAATTCTGTGGGCTGTGTTATTTTGTGAAAGCAGCACAAATGGACTAAGACAGGATGTAAATGGTTACTAATTGAGATAATTCATGCTAGGGACTCATCAATGCATGGTCTATAGAAATTAATCAATACATATTTTAAGCTAAGAGATTCAAGAATTTACTTTTTGAAAATACATTGTAACCAAAGCAAAGCTAAACTTTTGCAGCGGTAAAGCCAGGTTTAATCAGGAAAGAAAGGGAATAATCATTATTTACTATCATTGGCTTTAATGCAAAATGTAGATGAAGGCACAGCCCTAGGCTTTTGGGGAAAAAAATCTATTACGCTTTCCAATTTAAAAATCACAATACTACAGTGCTTGATATATGTAAGTCAGTAAATTGATGTTTGCACAGTCCGTTAATAAATGAATGAACCTGAATGGGCTGTGGTATAGAAACCCAGTCACCTTGTGGGGACTCCTAGAGAGAAAGCTTTCCTGTTGGCAGTAAGCCAGTTTGGAAGTACAGAAGGTGGGTCGCTGTCCGCGGTTCTGAACTCTCCCTGGGTCGGATCTGTTCTTGTTTGGCAAACTGCTTTCTTCTCTCTCCACTCCAAAATCCCTCTCACGCAGTCTACTTTCAAGGCACGGAGACAAACACACCCCCATATGTTTCCCAAATGGGCTAATTCTCACCATCTCTGAATCTTTTAATGTTCTCAAGTCGCAATGTCTTTCCTGCTGAGCCTCAAATTCCCTACCTAAAAAATCATGGATGTATTTCATCTGAGCCTTGATTTTTAATGTGTTGGCCACCTGGAGTCCTTGGCTGTCATCTCAGAGAGGGGGAAAAAACCCTCGGCCACACCTCCTTCTTAAAGAGTAGGCAAGTCTGCCAGCGGTTCTTTTTTAGAATCCCCGGAGGCAGCAGAACCGCACACTCTGGCTCCTGTAGTCAGCCAGCAGCTTCCCTTCCTCTCTCAGCATCCCCCCCCCTTACCCTGCCGCCCCAACTTCCCAGTACAAAGAATCTTCAGACTCTCTAGACTCCGTTCAAGAACCCGGGGAGCCCTCTGGTATAGCTACTTTGGCTCTTATGCCGCACCCTTAGATGCCACAGTCTGAATGCCTCATTCACTGAGTTCACTGGATCTGCTGTGCAGACAAACAACACGAACCCCCCCACCCACACACACAACTCCTTCTTTTCCACTTGTCCATTCTTTCTGTGTTATTGGACCGAGGTTTACAGTGAAATGGCTTCTAAGCATCAGAAATCTAAAAGTACAAAGATATTCCCTGCGGGTTGTGCGTGTGTTGTTGTGTGTGTCCATCCGCGTTTATACAAAACCTCCCAACATCACACTTTGGTATCCGGACAGGCGCCTCGAGAAATCCCAGATCTTTTCAGGAATTCCCTCTACCCTGCCTTCTTCTTTAGTACCCTAAAAGAGGTAGGTCTGGGGCTTTCGCCAAACTCCTGCAGTGAGAGCCGCACACAATTCTGCTGCAGTTTTTCCTCCCCTGTTTGCTCCCAGTCCTTTTAGGCGAACAGTGTGGAGCGCAGGGTTTCCGTGCGTTTACCCTGTATCCGCACTGCATTCCCAGGCAGCCTTTCCCGGGATAGACCTTCTGCGGACCGACTGGCTCAGGTTCCGCCAGGGTTGGTGGGTGGTGCTCTCGCCGCCCCCTCCTTCCCATGGGACTCGGGAGAGCTGCGCGCTGGGCAGGAGTGCGCGCGCGCGCGGGCTTACTGGGGGAAATCTCCTTCCCAGAAAGCCGGTGAGAGTCGCTGACCGAGAGTATCCCGGGGCCCTGCAAAACCCACCAAAGCGTTAGACAGCTTCCCTAAAGAAAAACGGCGAATGAAAAACAAAAAGGGAAACCCGTTTCCCCTGAGGCCTGGGTTTCCGATGGTATCGGATCCTCGTGTAGCTGATCTGGTAGGGTCGCGCTTGGCCGCCTCTGGAACCCGGACTTAGAGCGACGGTTGCAAGAGGAGGGAGGTGAGGGACTTGCGGGCAAGAGTTGCACCTGGTCTGGGAACCTGCAAAGAGAACTGTGGGGTAAGTAGCCTTTTCCTGGCATTCGAACAGGAAGGAGTAAAGAGGGAGGAGGGGGCAGGAGCGGGACGAAAAGGAGAGGCCAAGGAATGGATTATGAAAGAAAAAAAAAAATCCTTCAAATTCCTCTGCAGAGGGAGAGAGAGCACAGCACAATCCTCTAAGGATAAGTCCCGCCCGGCTTTCCGTGCGGAACGGAGCAGCAGCGAAGTTCTTTTAAAGAGAAAAGAAACTCCAAGCTCCTGGAAGGGAACCGGGGCAGCCGGGCGGGGTGGAGCTCCAAGGCTGGCGCCTAAGGTCCCAGCCGAGACAGCGGCCACGGTGGCCTGAAGTGCTGATGCCGGGAGGCTGCTCCTTATGGCCTCGCCGCCCCACCCGGATCGGACTTTTGCCTCCGCCCCTCGGTGCCCAGCGGCCCGACTGACGTGGGGACTCCGGGTGGCGGCGCGAACGCTCACCTGGCCGAGCCTTCTCCCCCTCCTCCTCCTGCTCCCGCCCCCACCTGCCCTCCTCTTCTCCGAGTGGGAAAGCGTCGGGATTCGTAGGCGAGGAAATAACGACCCCTGCAGTTGCATTGCGGAAAATCTCGGCGGCGGCGCTAGTTGCGGGCAATGGAAGCAAGGCAACTGCGGGGTCTGGGGAGCCCTGGAAAATAGCAGAAAAGCAGAAAGCGCGCGTGCAACGTGGGGAGTCAGTGAGCCCCTCGACGCGTCACTGTCCCGGGAGCCCAGCCTCGGGCTCGGCGTCCTGAAAGCATCGCCCGAACCCGGCTCGGAGGCGGCAGGCGGCGCGTGGACTTGGGGAGCAGGGAGGGTCAACGGAGGCTGCTGGTGGCCGGTGTTTCCGGGCAATAATCCCCGCTTCTCTTTCTTTCTCTGTGTGCCCTGTCTGCTCCTCTCTCCCCACCCTCCGGAAGCAGGAGAACCGGCCAGATCGGAGCCAGTCACCATCCTCTGACCATGCCCCGTTGAAGGGGGCAGACTTCGAGGGCAACTTGTCGCGGACTGCCTGGGTTGAACTAACGTACGGGAAAAGACCGAGAGCCCGGAACTGCATTGCTTGGCCCGGTGGGGGGCTGTTGTCTATGTCTTCTTGGGGCGCCCGGCGGATCGGGGTCTCGGTTTTGCAGGAAGAACCCAGAGCTGGTGGCTTCAGGTGGCTGACCCTGCCACCACCGCGGTCGCCGCAAGTGCTGTTTCCACCTTTGGTGAGAGGAGCAGAGACGCAAGAGCAGGGAGACCTCCGAGGCAAAGAGGCATCGGACATGTGTCAGCACATCTGGGGAGCACATCCGAAGAGCCCGAGGGGAGATTTGCCGAAACAATTCAAACTGCGTTATTGATCTTGGGGGTGACTGCCCCTGGCCGGCTGTCGGGTGGGAGCGCGAGTGTGCGCTCTCTGGAGAGTGTGTGCGTGTGTGTATGTGTGTGCCGTGTCGGGCTCCCCCTTTCCCCCCTGTTTTCCCGTCGAGTGATGCACCTGGAATGAGAATCAGAGGATGGAAATAGTCTGGGAGGTGCTTTTTCTTCTTCAAGCCAATTTCATCGTCTGCATATCAGGTACGGGACGTGCTGGTGTCATGGGCGGGTGGTGTGTGCTGTGGTGATATTTGAAATGTATGAGGTTTTATCCTGTGTAGATTTAGGGCGGGAAGTGAAGAGGTGGCACAGCCCTTTTTCGTTCTGTGGCTTGGCTGTCTTCGGAATCAAAAACCTTCTAAGCCCAAGGGTGTGTGCATGGGTCTCTCTCTCTCTCTCTCTCTCTCTCTGTAGGTGTGTGTGTGTGTGTGTGTGTGTGTGTGTGTGTGTGTGTAGGTGTGCTGCTGTGGGCAAGATCTCTGAGGCGTCCTGGAAGGGAGAAGGGATGGAGACTGAAAAAAAAAGAGGCAGCTGGGTGTTGATTTTCAACTGCTTTTCTGGCTGAGAACTCTGGCGCCGAAATCTGAGCCTTGGCACCCCCACCCCCAACCCCAACCCCTGGCTTCCAAAGTTCCCAAACTCAGTGGTTTCTGGCTGGCAAAAAAATGGATGCAGAGCCTTGCTCTGGTATCTAGGCACTTTAAAGAGCCTGCAGGAAGATGCGGGACTGAGGAATGCCAGGATTGACTGGAAGGATGTGGAAGACCTCTCTGCCTTCCCCAGATGTTGGGAAATGTATTGTGGTGTTGGAAATCCAGTGGCAGCCCAAACACACCTGAAGCAATACAGTGTTAGTAATGCTGCTGTAGTTGAAAGTCTTAATTCCCAGTAGCAAGGATGTGCTGGCTCAGGAGCTGATCACAGGCTACTTGTGCCAGCGTTTTTCGTTTTTCGTTTAGTTTTTGTTTGTTTGTTTGTTTGTTTGTTTTTAATGAAAATACAGGGTGTTGAGTTATCTGGGGAGGGCTTGTGCCTGCCTGTTTCTGAGTATTGTGTGTTGGGAGGAACTGTCATATTTCCAAGATATGTGTTTCTTGGTGCAGGAATTTAGGGTTGGAGGGAACTGTGTAGATATTCCCCAGTCCTTTGGCTCCTCCCACTGACCAGCACCCACTCCATTTCCCCTTGCACCTGCCATTGAAGCATTCAGGGTGTAGCCCATTTGCAGTTCTCCCCTCTGCCTGCATTCCCTCTGCAGAATTAGGTACTGAGCCAACTTCCCAGGAAGTAGATGAGCAGGAGCCCTGCCTCTGTGAGCAGACACACTTGAGCAGCATTGGAGTAAGGCAGGTGTCCTGCCTCCTCCTTAAGCCCTTGACAGTCTCCTCCCCCCTAAATCAGACTATCAAAAATCCTTGTGTGTTTACTTTGGACCCAGTTCTAAACACTGCTGTTTAATTTCAATCTTCTCTAAAGATGGAATGGGAATCTGTTATGTGAAATCATATTTGGGGCTTGGCCTCCCTACTAAGAAACATGTCACCATAGTGAGTTATATTCACATAGCAGACAACGGAAGTCTGGGGTCACTCCCCCTCCACAATGGGAATTCTGTCACTCTATCGTGTGTCTTCCAGTATAAATATTGAGGTGACTCGTGAGGGTTTGTGAGTCCTTTGCCAGGGGTAGCCTGGGTGGCAGCTCAGAAGACCAGATTAATCATCTTTCACCATATCTCTCCCTCTTTCTCTTTCCTACCTCTCTCTAGCATCATAAATCATTTTTAGAAGAGCCATCTAAGTTCTTGTAAGATTGGGTAAAGTCTAACATTCGGTGAGGAGCTGGGCTTCCTTAAGCATCCTATTCGTCTCAGTCTGGACCATAATCTTGCCTAGCAATGACATGGGGGTAAGAAGCTGAGCAGGAGTCTGTTTTTAGCCTCAGAAAGAGTTATTAGTGGGAGACCTGTCCTGGCTGCATTTGATTTGGTGTGTCAGCAGCTAAATTATTCAGGTAGAAACATGAGGAGGAGGGTTTTTTTTTTTTTTCCACCCCAGAAGAAGTGTTATGGAGTGTGTGGCCTTTCACATGCACTCACTAAATAATCATCATTGCAGTGTAGTGACGGGAATAAAAGTGTAAGCAAAATTGGTCGCTATTAGCTAGACAGAAAACTAGGTTACCACTCCAAGTGTTCAGTTAGGATCTGCATTGATTTGCACTTCATGAAGATATGTAGACAAAGATGCAGCATTCTAGGTTTTGTATTTACACACCACACATTTGACTTCAAATGCCCATTCTGTCTCTGAAAACAGTGAGGTTTCCTCCTATCGGCACAACTGTAAATCCAGTGAAGTTCATTTATGTCTAAATTATGATTAGTAATATAATCATGACTCACAATTGCCACAGTTTGGGGACTTCAACTTTTTTCTCTTGCCATCTGACAGCCTGAGGATATGCTGGAATGTGATGTACCAAGGTTGAATAATTGTGCCTCAGAGAGGACTTAGTGGGTCTTTCATTTCAGCTTCCATGATTTGCAGTTTTAATTTACTCATGAATGAGTTTTACTGAAAGGAACAAAATCCTCTGATCATAGAATTTACTATCATGCGTTTGTAAATATAAATGGGGTGGGAGCACTTTTTCGTCATCTTAGGGTAGCCACTCTGACCAATAAATGGGTGCTAACCCATAGTATAGTACCAGACAGTGAAGGGTGAGGCACCACTAGGCTTCACTTCATTGTTGAGGAGCATAAAGCTGGGAAAAGCCAGTAAAAACCTACAGTATAAACGTTTTGCAGGAGGAAAATACTAGTAGCAACTTTGCCTATGGAAGGTATGTGTAGTATATGTAGTAGATTTTTTTTTGGTAGCTTTTGCTGTCAAGAACACTCTGGGCTTTGTAACTGAAAATTTTTTTAACCCAAGGTTTCACCCCTCTCTCTCTCTCTCTCTCTCACACACACACACACACACACACACACACACACACACACCCCAAGGTGTTTCCTCTCTGCATTATTCGGCTATGTCATCTAAAATACAGATACCGGGGGGACTTGATCTATTTGGTACTTCTGCTGAAATAATCTGGTTAGCAAAAGGACTAAGAGCCCATTTGGCCAGGGCTAGCTTGCTGCTGAGTAAGGAGCATGCATATCTTCCACTGGAAGGATCATACCAATTCTGGCAAGTTAGTGACAGCACAAGCCTTGAAAAGAAATACTGTGGCCTGGGAGTTAAAGGCAAATATCATTTGGCTAAAGATATAAGGTAGCAGGGATCTGTATAGAGACCAGAGAGGGGAGCAGGGGGAGAGAAGAAAGGAGGGAGGCAGAGAGAGAAATGAGAATGAATATGCTTTCTCTCTGTGCATAGAGAACCATTCCCTTCCTTCCAAGGCAGCTCAGAGCAGCGAGAATGAATACTGAGAATTGGAAGGAGAGCGTTTCCTAGTCAAAAGACAGCTGCCTGATTTAATTTGTATGTTGTACTCCACTTCCCTGCTTATGTAACTTCACAATGTGCCAGTTTGTTCATAACAGCAATAGCCATTTAGTTATGAGACACCACCACACATTGTAAATTTAATATGGATGTTTTGGTTTATTCCTTCTTAGAATTTGTGTGTGGGGGGGTGTGATTTTATAAGTCGGGCATTTAGAGAATTCACATTTAGGTCTGAGTAAAAATACCCATATATCATTTAAGTTTTAGGTCAAGACTTAGCTCAAGTTTGATTATTTTCTATTTATTGGATTGTCTTTCATTTTGATGTGTCTGACTGGAGGAATAAAATTATGCTAAATGAATGTTCCTCTTCAAGAACTTGGGAGTAAAAAGTTAATGCAATTATACTGTAAAGTTAGAAATGTGGTAGCACTTGAGTTGGATTTAAATCTGTCCATCAAACAAGTGGAATTATTATGTAAGTACCTCCAGCATCTTTTAATCATCATTCACTATAAGTAAATACTCCATTTCTAATCTAAACACTAAAATTGTTTTATGTGTAGAGAATAAATAATAGTAGGATGGAACATTATTATATGGCTTCGATGAGACAGTAAATACTATTTAATCTTTTTTCACTTAGCGTAGTATCTCACACCTAGCAGACATACATGAATACCAACTATGATTTATTTTCTATCAATGTAGCTGTATGTAGATTTGATTCACATCAAGTAGAAGTTTACTTTCTTCCCTGTTGGCTTTATTAAAATCAAAAAGAATCACCAGTCAAGGACTAGGGAGATGGCTCACCTACTAAAGTCCTTGCTGCACAAGCCTGACTCCCCGAGTTCAGGTCTTTGGCGCTCCTGTAAAGGCACAGTGGCATACATTTGTAACTCCCATGCAAGAAAGCCAGATGAGCAGGTTCCCTGAGCTCACAGCTGAGGCAGCTTAGCTGAATCAGTGAGCTCCAGGTTCCATGACAGACCCCATCTCAGAAAATAAGGTGGAAAGCCATTTAAGAAGGCTCTTAATGCTGACTTCTGACATCCTCATACATGCATATAAACGTGCATGTGCATATGAATACCTATCTACATATAACACACACACAATCATCAACCAGCCTATTTTGTAACATATAGTATGAACCCCACTTTCAAGAAAGCCTTGGGCAAACCAGTATTGTGTCTTTATCGACTTCCTCATGAAAATATCTAAGCAGCATTAGATATTTTTTTTAATTTTCTTTATTTTGCATTCCAACCACAGTTCTCCCTCCCATCCCTCCTGCTGCCTCCCTCTTCTCCTCCCCTTTAAGTCACCCCATTAACTCTTCCCAATGGGTAAGGGCTTCCATGGGAAGTCAACAAAGTCCAGCATATTAAGTTGTGCCAGGACTAAGCTCTTCCCTGACCCTGCATTGAGGCTGAGTATGGCATCCCACCATAGGGAATGGGCATTGGCATTAGATTTTAGTGTATCATAGGAATGTCCCCTACTCATTCCTTTTACTCAATATTAAGTGAGATAAGGCTTGGGAAATCTTAAGTATTACCTAGTCACCATGTAGTTCTTATTGCCAAGATCAACAGGCTTTCCCACATTCTTCTTATGCTTTATGGATTACTATAGCCTCCTCTTTAAAGTTCTTCCAAATTGAAAAACTGTGTATGCATCCACTATAACTTGAAATAGGATATTCAATTAAATAAAATTGAGCCCCTCTCCAAC